TTGCATGCGAGGAGGCAGGACTTGTTCGAGGAGCTCGAGGTTCTGGAGTTGTGACTTTTCCGGGAATTTGACGTCGAATTGAATATACAGGTTACCAAAGTCGTGGTGTCTGAATGACGGCATTCCTTGGCCCTTGATCACCTTAATCGCTCCTATCGCCAAAGTCAGTGTGTGAACGTCGATGCGATGATCTGGCGCGGCTCTATGTTTGTACTCACCAGGTGTGATGGGCTCGCCGGGGTAGATATTGACCGTTAGCCACCGATCATCGAGATGTTCAATATAGATCTGGCCACCAGCCAGAGCAGTCAACAGGTCAATTTCGGCGTGATAGAATAGGTCGTCGTCCTTTCTCTGGAATCTTGGATGAGGCTTCTGTTCGATCTCAAAGACAACGTCTCCAGCGAGAATACCGGGCATCTGATCGCCCTCACCACGGAACTCGATCTTGTGGCCGCTCTTGACACCACGGTCGACATGCACGTGAAGAACCTTGCGTTCCACGACCGTTTTCTTTCCCATGCAGCGTTTGCATCGGTCGCGGTCGCGGATGGTTTCTCCTTCGCCCTGGCAATCGGGGCAGATGGTCTGGAAACGCTGAATCATAGGGCCCATTTGACGCATCATTGTCTTCATACCCTGGCCGTTACAACCAGTACAGGTTTTGACCGCCCCCTCTTTGCCTCCACGGCCTTCACACTGTGGGCAGATAACTGATTTTTGAAGAGCAAGTTTCGAGACTTTCCCGCGATATATGTCTTCAAGAGACACTTTGTGGACGTGGTGGATTGTTCGGGCTTTCTTTGGGCCTGGATCGCGCATGCCTCCTCCGAACATGCCCCCGAATGCTGACCCACCGCCAAAGAACTGCGCAAACAGGTCCTCGGCGGCCATGCCGCCACCTCCCATTCCACCTTGTTCTAAGCCCTCTTCACCATATTGATCGTAAAGACTTCGTTTTTGAGGGTCGGACAGGACTTCGTATGCTTTGGAGAGGTCCTTGAACTTTTCGGCCGCATCTGGATTGTGGGCATTCTTGTCTAATCACGAGTTAGAAACTTATTGCCTCTCTCAGACCAAGCTTCGAATGACAGTCTTACCTGGGTGATGTTTTAGAGCGCCCTTCTTGTAGGCAGATTTCAGCTGGGCCTCTGTGGCCGAAGGATCGACCTGCAGAAGTGGTTAGAGGGCGACAATTCCAAGCCTTACAAAAGGAAAACGAGTCGCCGTACCCCGAGAATGTCATAATATTTCGTCTCTTTGACCATCTTGCTCGAGAGCGGTTTCGGAGGAAGCAGCTGACTAGATTTGGGTTGATACTCAAGTCAAGAAGGGCGAGGAGTGTTGGGGGGGTTGGAAAAAGATTTGTTTTGTGAGTGAGCGAGAAGGAATTCCGGACAAGGAGGTTTGCCGGTCCAGTGGATGACAGAGGCGGTGATGGGACGTTGAGTATCCAGATAGTATTATCAAGAGGTACACATGTAGTGAGAAGGGTGCTAAGTGCGAAAGTCCTCTGATTTATGAGGTCAATCGCAGGCAAACAATTATATTGTTCAGTTGCTGAGGCGCGCAGGGGGATCGGGTCGGGGAAGGTCTCAGAAAAAGCCAAGAGGAGAGAACCAGATCGAAGGTCGCAGATTCCGCCATCCAAGGATCGTGGACCAATCGAAGTCCGGATGAGGCTGAGGACTTCACCCACTCTGAGATCAACTTGTCTTTGGAGTGAACCATGTTCCGTCAGCCGGATCAGGATTACTTTTGCTGCACAATTAACCACGTCACTTATGCTGCTCCTCACAGCTTACAATGTGCTTGTATTGTGGTGAGATTGCTATCTGGGCAGATTCGCATCCCAACCTGTCGGGGGAAAATCCCCGAGGCTCAGTCTAATAATCAGGATGCATCTAACATACATAACGAGCTAACTACTCGTACTAAGGATCCGTGCTCCGTGCGTACGATAAGCCCATTCCGAAAGATCTACTTGGCACTTCTACGGAGTCCTGGACCCTGGCTCGTGCTTTTAGCCAATAACATGACCCCGAGATTTTGTTTCTGGACTTTTTGTTTGCTGTGGGTCTCGGCAACGCCTGTTGTGCGTGGTTTTACGTGTACAAACACAACAATAACAACTACCCATGGTGTGCCGTGGCTGGTGACGTTTTGTGACTTGGGAATGAGCCTCCCATTCCTCGGACCCAGCCACGCCTATCACACATCTCTGGGGCAGCCCATACAAGTCGCCTGATTCAGCCTTACGAGACCCCAGCCTTGTTGGTTTCACTTTCGGAGCGGAGAATCATTCTTGCGGTCATGCCACGGCACCTTCGTGGTTGGTTGACGGGCTGTTCTTCCTTTTGCATACCTACATACATAACTAGGCACCTAAGGTATGTAATTAGGTAGTCACAGAAATACCTAGTGGCAGGATGCGTTCCACGTCGACAAAGCTCGGACTGCGCCTCGTGCTTTTCAATCCCATCCCCTCCATTGGCAGACGACTGGCACCACGGGTTGACGTTGCGTTGGACCTGAGAACTGAGTTTGGAAATCTACCCCTCTTCCAATAGGTCTGAAGGGATACGGTGTTGGTTCTCCCAGTACTCATACTATGGACCGTTTACCATGTCGAGGAAGGCTTTGCATGGGGACACCACAGAGGCGGAGTGAGAGCATATGATGGCCGTACCGAGTACTTCTCCATAATTACCGTGACCGACTTGCCTACCGCCTACATAGGAGTTGTGTTTTTCGGAGCTCTAGGTAGCCCAAGGAAGCGGGGAAGCCTAGCCGTGCCTGGATAGCTACCTAACTTGTACCTAGCCTAATAGGCGCTCGGGCCTTTGATCAATGAGCGGCGCAAGCACCAACCGTACCCACTAATATTTCGAGGAAGATCGCCTTGGAAGCCCCCCACCTCAGGTGCGATACGAGTACAACCAACATCCACCAACTATATCACCTCCTCATTCCCTCAAAGCCTCCTAAACATGCATCAGACACTCACACAGTTGAAGGGCAACAACATCCCTCTTACTGTTCCGTCATCAGTCTCCTTTCTGGCAACTGACCCCGAGCCAAATGTTACACAGAACCTTGACTGCATTGTGATAGGACAGAGAATCCGATCGTATGCAGGCTATCGAGGTCCGGTGACTGGCGACTGCAGCCTCGAGAGTTGTCACTACGTGGGACCAGTCTGAGGCCTTATCGACCTGAGTCCGAGTCGACACCGACTCGCTGCCCACTGACCAACACTGTTATTTCCCTTAGGAAACCAGGCGCCTAAGCATGCGGGCAACCATTTCAAGTATTTCCCGCCTTTGCAGGTTCAGTCAGCTGACAGTGAATATGGCCAGTAACACCGTGCAGCAATCTAGCTACCTTGTTCCTCGTCCACAAAAGTCCCCCTGTTGGAAACCAGAGCTCTTCGAGTACCTGACACGAATTCTGCAGTCCTGATTGCTCGCATTGTCAGGCCGCAGTAACCCAAGCCGATGCCCAACGAGGTCTAGCCCTCATATGTCAGAGCTCCAGAAAAGGTTTGCCACGTCGTCCAAGCGCCTTAGACTTCCCATCACGCTTGTCATCTGGCCTCGCAAATCTTATAAGACCGACGAACAGACCCGATGCTTGGTCTTCGAAGTTGGGACATCAGCTTTGAAAAAGGAAACCTCTCGCTTGGTGAGCCTACCGCGGAAAGAGGTATCGCAAAGTCCCTGTCCGTGCCGTTGTCATGGTTCGCTCAAACCACAGCCGACCCATCCCGACCCAGATCTGGGAGAAACACAAATTCACCATCTATGCACTCTATGCGAGGCTGCCTCTTGACCAAGTCATGGCTGAAATGCAACAGAAACATGACTTCGCCGCCACTGCGCAACAGTACAAGCGACAACTGGGGAAATGGGGCCTTCGCAAGAATGTCTTGACTGAGTTGGATGTCATTGACGATGAATCCATCGCACGTGGAGGCAAGGACTCCCAACGCCAGATACGGCGCTTTCAGAAGAGGAAACAGCTCAAAACACAGAAGCCAGCGAAACCAAAACCGGCCACCCCACGCACCACCCGGTCAAGCTCGGCTCAGAAGCGAAGGCCTCTGTGAACTGGACGTACCAAATATCAATGGTGCTGCCCTCTCATTTCAGAGTGACATAGCTGGATGACCCTTCATGGAACGAGTTCTAGTCGAGCTTTAAGGGACTTCTTTGGTACTGTTCTATCATTGAACATTTCCGCGCTTATATGATACCTTGTCACAGGAGTAGTCATGGACCCTTCGGCCTGAGATGTAAGCAAATGGTTACAACAAGTACGCAGGACCCTTTTGCCGTTCTCATGGCTCCAACCCTCCAACACACCGACCTCGCACTTGGATCAATTGCTTCGCATGCTTTGAGCTTCCTCGAGAATGCAGGCTTTGTTGGCTCTCGCTAGTGCGCACCGTTCGAGCAAACGAACAAACGCTATCCATATCTTGTGCAAGGCTGGGATATTGTTTTGTTCATTTAGCCCGAGAGAACAACCAGCCCAAAGGGCATCCACTGCTGATTTCTGAATGAGCCAGGCACTATGGGGGATTGACGACCTGCGGTATACGAGACAAAGGGGGTCTACGTTTCAGACATTGTAACTTGACCTGTGTTCGGAAAAGGTATGCGTATATACCTCTTTTTCGCTTCGGACGCGGGAACATCGTGTATGCTTTTACATTGGTGGAAATCACGAGTACCGTCAGGGACACAGAAATAGATCTCATGACTAGGGTGGCATTGATACTGACAGGTCTAATATTCGTCTCAATTGGGAGCCTTTAGTATTGTAAGCATCGTCATTTAGGGCCCATGGCACAGCCACGCTGGAACGTCTTCCCCGGTGCCATCTCAACTCAACCCCGCGGAAATTCCCCAGCAGCATCCGTCGTCACGTCGCCTGATTTCTCATATCTTGCCAGACCTCCTGCGTGTCCATTTCCTTGCGTGATCCTGTGGCAAAGTTTATACGTGCACAAACCGCAAGATCAACTGGTTACTCCTGGGTTTGGTGGTGTACGCGTCGATCTCCTCGATGCCGTTGTCGTCGACGATTTCGGTGGCCCAGTTGCTGTAGATGGCCGAGACGAGCAGCTTGATCTCCTGGATGGCGAGGTGGCTGCCGATGCACATTCGCCCGCCGGACCCAAACGCCCAGAACCAGCGGTGCATCTCCTTGAGCTGGTCGTCGGACGAGTGTGACGGCAGCCAGCGCGAGGGCAGGAACGTCTCCGGGTCCGGGAAGACGGCCTCGTTGCGGTGCAGCGTGTAGGGCATGGCCGAGACGCGCACCCCGCCGGGGATCTGGGAGTAGGCGCCCAGCGTGCTCCCACCCGGCACGTGCGGCGAGATGCGCGGCTCGATGCCCGGGATGGGCGTGTGCAGACGCAGCGTCTCCATCAGGATGGCGTTGAGCAGCGGCAGGGCGTCGATCTGCTTTGGGTCCGGGAGCTTGAAGTCCCTCGCGCCGGGAGACAGAGGCCATTTGATCGGTGGTGTCAGCGTCAGGACCTCGTCGCGGAGTTGCTTCTGCAGGTCGGGGTTTCTGCTCAGCTCCCAGTACAGGTACGTCAGGGCGATGGCCGACGTCTCGTGGCCCGCGCCCAGTTGGTCCAGCATTTCGCTGTAGATCTCCGCGGTCGTGGTGTCATCAGTGTTATTGTTGCTGCCGTCCCCGCCGTGTAATTCGTCGTGCCGGGTGGTCGGCAGGATGACCTCGCCCGTCGCCTTTCCCGCGTTGGGGTCCTTTTCGCGCAGTTTCGTGATGCCCGTCTTGAACTGCTTGTACACGACGGGTTCGTCGCCGGGGTAATATGCCAGTGAAGAACCATCCCCGCCGGTTGATCCTCGTCGCGAGAGGAACTCGTCCGCCATGCGGCACATGCCGGCGTTCCAATCCTCCAACAGGACATTGGCCTCGTCCACGAAATACGGCACGACTTGCAGACCGAGCCCGCGCGTGAGGCGCTTGAGCCACGGTGCTTCGGCCGAGAAGAACTCGTAGTCCCGACGACAGTGGTACTGGTGGAGGATGTGCCTCCGCTTCGCCAGGTCCTGGGTGAGGTTGGTCCCCGCGGCCAGCCCGAACTGGTACGCCGACATAAAGTCCATGGCGAAGGCGTTGTTCATGTCGTGCACGTCGGCCGGTTCGCCCGTCTCGGAAAGTCTCTGGAGGAGCGGCAGGTAGCGGGTTGTGAACAGTGTGTGCGAGTTCGCGGCCACTTGCGGCGAAGAGGCGATGAAGGACTTGGAGTAGACGTTGGCCATGGTGCGTTTCTTCTGCGAATGTGGCCCGTGGTGGATTGTAGAGAACATGTTCATGACCCTGGCCCAGTCCAATTGTCAGTCTTACATTCTTCTATTCTCCTCCCCCTTTCTCTTCTTTCCCCTGTTGGTCCGTTCTTGATGGGTATCGAGAACCACGGTTCAAATTCCGTGACAAGGCAATGTTGGCGGTTTCTTCCACCTACCCATAGGAGCCAAATCTCTGCGGATACCAGGCGTGCTTTTCCCAGGAGCCGGCATAGATGGTCTTTATGCCGTTATCCACGCAATTGACGCTCAGCTCGTTGGAGCCCATGCGGACGACAGACCCGTGCTTCAAGTGAGCCGCATAAGTCACGGCATTGTTCCTCTCCATGTACCGTTGATAGGTGATCCAGGCATCTCCGAAGATTGGGATCGACCAATGCGCAGAGGGGATATGCCGCAGAGGGTGGAAGAGGAGAGGGTTGAGGATGAACTTGTACAGGGCCAGCAGAGCAAGCGAGCCCAACGTGAGCAACGCGAGGATGGGCAGCGCCATATTTCGACAATCAATAGGGAGGAGGATTTGCCTTGTAACAACGAAGAAAGATAGATCGAAATACGAACAAACGCAATAAAAACGAGTGGTATCGAGTGGAAGTGATGGCCTTCCTTCCTCTCCAAGCCACCGCTCTTATGATGCTGCTGCTGGAGGTGGTGGTCGAATCCAAGCAAGGAGGGGAGGGAGATAAGTGAGGTTGGCCAACCGACGATGACACGACGGTGAAGCTTGTGCTTCCTCAAACGCCTCACTCGATGAGCGAGAACTCTTGTTCTTCAGATTCGACAGCACTCGGAGATGTGAGAGGAATCTGTCATGGAAATCGATCTACCCATACCCCTAATGTTAAGAGTAGGCGAGGAGCATATTCACCTCCACCTCATTAACCTAGATGTTGAGTTCGGCCGCGCAACTCCGTACATACGTGGTTGGACAAATCCGTGATAGTGTCGTATGGGGAAGCAAATAATACTTCGCCGTCCAGATGGAGCAAAAAGAGGCGAGGATGAATGTGGGCGACCTTAGTGAGAAAACATGCAAAACACGGGAGTTGTGAGGAACTGGTTGTTCACGCCATCTATCAAGTCCTGGATACCTTCTGCTTGCCTTTTCCTTTGACAATGGTTGCCTCTGTCTCAACATCGTCCTCGTCCTCGTCACTGCCCGAGAATTCATCTTCGTCGTCAAAGCCTGCAAACCGGCGAGCTGGTTGTTTGGGCTTCGGTAGTAAATGAGAGGGGATCTTGAGTCGATTCTGCAAGACCCAGAGGGCATCGACGTCGCCGGCTTCAGCTTCTGATCTGAGCCGGGACATATCCTCTGGGTCTAGCTCCATCAGATCTTCCTCATCGCTGTCTTCGTCACTAGGGGCGCCGGAGCCTCCACTGCCACTGCTATCTCCTTCTTGTGCCGACACTCCCTTTGACTCTTCCTTCTCGTCGCTCGCCAACATAGCCATCTTCACGGCATTTCGCACATTTTCTCCAACCTCCTCTTTCGTTTCAATCCACTCATCACTAAGACCTTTCCGCCGGCCATCAGGGCCCTTACCTGCTCGCATATCGGCCTCCCTTTGCTCGGCTAGTTGGATGACCTGTTCCCATCTCTTGCGTCTTTCTTCCTTTTCCTTTCGATCCATTTCCGGCTTGGTGGCCAAATACGCAGCCAGGTTTTTGGCCTCTGTGATGGTCCGCAGCCTTCTCCCGTCAAGGTTGCGTGCGCTCCCTGAAGCAAGCTCTGCATTTTGTTTTTTCTTGCGCGATGACATTCGGCCACCAGCTGCTCTGAGCTGGGAGCCAAACCCACCTTTCCCGCCCACTAGCGGTGCAGAGAGTCGGAGGGGGAGGAAAGAGCTGCTGCAGGCATGCTGGCCACATGATGATGATGGTGATGAAGACGATGGGCGTGTCAATTCCCCAACGGTGATCGTAGACGTAGGATATACGGGTTTGTTTAGGGTCGAGGTCAGAGTCAGGTGTGTGGTTTCTGGGAAATTAGGTGGGAGAAGCTCTGCTATAGCGGCCACTAAATCTGCGGTAGTTGAAGATGCTGGTAAGGGGAGACAGAGCGTCGCAGGAAGCGACAAGCCTGGGAAAGTGCTCAGCAAGACGTTGACGACGGCCTCCATCTTGCCACGCCCCTATCTTCGTGGATTTGCGACACAAGTCACGTATGTAGCTAGGAATGCAGGAATCGACAATAAGATAGGGTCATGCACTCCGGTACTCGGTAGGCTGTTATGATGAAACTGACTTTGTAGAAACGTATGGAGTGGCTTGTTTGAAATTGTCACAAGTCACTTTTTGGAAGCGACCGGGCACGCAAGAGAGGATGCTGGTGCCTTGCAGAAAAGACCGCGGGCCAAGTTGGGGGGCTTTAAACTCCAGGTCTCTAGCTGGATCCGGACTGGGCGTGCCCGCTAACGATGGAAAATTAGGCGACTAGTGGTCAAAGCCGTTAGGCGGTAAGTGCCGGGAGCTTGCACCGGAGATCAAGACTGGCAGCTTTTTGCGGGCGTGGCCAGGTGCCAACGTCGTCTTCAAACATCGGGGAATTGACACCCCAGTGCGAAACTCTCGAAACGCGTCGCAGAAAAACAAAAAAAGTCGAACGATTGATCATCCCACCACCCCCTCGTGTCCCTTCACCAAACACACAGCGAAGCCCGAGCCGTCCTTCGATTCCTCCACAAGGTCATCGACCTTCCACACGACCTCTCCACCCTCCTCGGCCCATGACTATCTCACGAGAAAAGGGACAGCGTGCACAGGCCCCTAGATTCGATCCACCGGCCATCATCGCGAGGCCACCGCCCCGGCCACTCTGAGATCCGTCCGATATTCTTGACGACACCTGTCCGACCTCATTCTGTCTTGAGACTTCCAGAGCCATCCGATCATTTCTTACCTAATATGCCCTGGCAGCCGCTGCCTCTGTCGTATGCGGTTGCCATCTATCCCTTCCAGCCGACATCTTCTCCGTCCGAACTCCCTCTTCAGATAGGAGACCAGTTATATGTCATCGAGCAGGGAGGCAAAGATGGCGCGTGGTGTCGAGGTTATCTGGTCGCGCCGCCCACCTTGCTGTCGGCATTGACTCCCGGCATCAGGACCGCCGCCGATGCTCGGGTTTTTTCTGGCATCTTCCCCAAGTGTTGTATCGAAATTCGAGAACAACTCGGTCCAGATGTGGACCCTCTCGTTGAGCCGGGCAAGCCAAAACCGCCCGCGCCAGTGCCCATGTTGAAAATCGGCGACGAGTCTCCGACGTCAAGCACCGAGCCGTTGGTAGATGAAATCACCTCCTGTCTGCGTGAGTGGTATATCCTGCACCTCCCCGAGCTGGTGTTGCGCCGAGAGTATCATCGTCTGGACCAGATGTCGGACATCACCACTCGACTCGACTATGCGAGGCGGGAACTATTAAATGATGTGCTCACCACTCAGGAAAGGCTTCAGGTGCGGAGGGAGGCTGTTTGGGATCTGGTGCGAGGCAACAAAATGCTTAGCGGCGAGGTCATCGTTCGTGACCCGGCTCGACAAGGACGACTGTTGACGTCGCAGGACTCGGCCATCGAGCTGGCAAAACTACAGTCGGTCATGAGTGCACTGGATACTACGCCCTCCGAAAAGTCCAGGGCAACTTCACTTCACCACTGTCTCCTTGAGGTCACGTCAGTTGCGGGGACTGATCTCGACACGACAACACTGAGTCTTGCTCTGTATCTCAAGGATGCCGACGGAAATCTCAAGCCTTTCTCGGAAACGTACAGTTCCATCGCCAACTCCAAAATGAAGACACTCCTGTCTGATCTCAGTACCCGCGACGTTGGGACCGATGATCGCTTGTTCCTTATCGTCAAAGTCGTGGTTTCAGAACCTCCACGGAAGGCCAAAAAGAGAGCGGTGGAAAGAGCGCCGTCGAGAAACGGAACTCTTCTTGGTCCACGGCAGTTATCGCTCAGTAGACGGAGATCCAGCTTGATGTTTGGGAAGCGGCGCAATGCAGACAGGCCGCAGCCCGGCCAAAATGGGAGAACCACTCCACAATCTCAGGACAGGGCATCTACTCCGTCAGTAATTGAGGAAGAGGAAGATGGGCAGAGCAAACCTGTTGGGCCCCCCGTTCCTCGGACCATTGGCGTGGGCGTCTTGGATATTGCAAAGATCATGAGGGATGGCCAGTCAAGGGAAGAAAGCGTCACCATCTGGTCTGCGTCCCAGCGGGACGACGAGAAGCCTGGAGGATCCAGCGACATAGCGGCACAGCTCCTGGATAGTCCCGGCAAGGCTCTTGTACTGTCTAACCCCGTCTCCAGTGCTACGTTCAAATTGACTCCTTACACTGCTCCTGAGGCAGACACTCTGATCAAGAACACCCCCACGTCGATGCATATGATCACCAAAACTCAGAAGATGGGTTTCTCAGAGGCCCCGTCCAAACCACGCTCAGACATCTACCTCACGTTAAGCAAAGCAGTCTTGACCCAAGGCTCCTATTTGTCTCATCCTGAGGTGAATGTGGCTCCGGTCAAGGCCCACTCCCTGCAGAACCTGCAACTAACCATGGAGGTACGTGACAACACTGGACGCCGCGTGGAGCATTGTATATTTCCGTCGTCGAACGGTGCGGGAGTTACTGCCTTCCGAACGAATGCCGTTGAACTCGACCACAAGTGGGACCAGACATTATGTTTGCGAGTGCCGACCGAGAAGGTCCCCGAAAGTCATGTGGTTTTGAGTATTGCGGATGCTCCAGAGTTCCCGTTTGCACTGGCTTGGTTGCCCCTGTGGGATAAGCAGGCGTTCATTTCTGATGGCAAGCACTCGCTCATCCTGCACGCTTACGACAAGGTCACGTCGAGCATTGTCCATGGCCGCGGTGCATATTTGTCCTTGCCCTGGAACAATGCCAACTATAAGACGATCCATGAAGGTTCTTTGGCCACGATTGCTTCCCTGGAAGTCTATACACACCTGTGCAGTACAGAATACTCGCAGGACAGAACCTTGGTCAGCCTGGTCAATTGGAAACATCAGACGTCGGTCCAGTTGTTGGATATCCTACAGAAACTCACGTTTGTCCCGGAGATCGAGATCGTCAAGCAACTTAGGGAAGTGTTGGACGCGTTGTTCGGAGTCCTTGTCCACAAGTCAGGGGAATCCAAGTTTGAGGATCTGATATTCAACGACATTGTTTGGGTGCTCGGAATCGTCCATGACCGACGGTTTAATCTGGGTCCTTTGATTGAGCAATACACTGAGAATCATTTCCGCTTTCCTTACGCCGCGGCATGCCTGATACGCAGTTTCACCAGACTTTTACAAAGCGTTTCGGACCCTCAAAGCGCCCGTGATATGAGATCGTTGTTCAAGGTTGGCAAAAGCTTCATGAGGATTCTGATCGTGTCATACCAACAACGACGCTTTGGCTCGCAGCCAAGAGACAATGATGAGAAGCACTCGAGTTTCAAGCAAGACATGCAGGCGATTCTCTTT